CAGGACAGGCTCCAAAGGTACGCACAGAAACCCTGTCTTGAAAACACACCTAAATAAATAAATAAATAAATAAATAAATAAATAAATAAATAAATAAATGAGCGTCTCCTAGGAAAAAATGGAGTGAAACAGACAACTCTGCTTGGATTAATTTGGAAATCAATAGCCTGGCAGCTACTCTCGCTGGTAGCGGTGCACACATACAGGTTCACTGGGTACCACTACCTGCCACAGGACCTCATTGCATCTCCTTCACATGCGCACCCTTCTTCTTCATGAGAAAGTTTCTCAAAGGATTTTCCCTACTGGCTTGCCCTCGGGGTCCTGACAGGACAGGCCCTCAGCTACAGCGACTAAGAGCACCAACCTGTGCACATTCGCTGGGGTCCCTTTTCAAAGGTGGGCCCCGCCCATTTCCTGTCTCTTTCTCCCGCCCACTTCCCTCTTTCTCTTGCACTGCTCTTGTCCCTGGGACTCTGCCCCTGTCTCTTGTCCCTCTGCCTCTGCCCCTTTCTCTGTCCCTTTTCTCTCTCCTCTTCAAATAAACCGCCCATGTGAGCCTCGTTGCTCGGCAAGACTTCTCTTCGTGGTGCTTTTTGATTAGCAACACCCTCCACCACATTGGCTCCCGCCCTAGGCTGTTGTGTCTCCATTCACTACATTGGAAAGGAGTCAGGCAAGACAGGCCCTAACTGAGGATACCTGCTCTGCTCATGTCCCAGCTCTCCATGTAGGAGTCAAGAAGCACGGATTACTAAAAAGAAAGCTTGGTGCTAGCTGGCATTCTCCCCGCCGTCTGTGTACTCCTGAGCAAGCCGCATCGCCGTGATATTCGGTAATCTATGCTGTGAGCCTGTGAGACCACGGCAGACCAAAGCTTCTCAGTTGTGCAAATGTCCCGTAATTTATTGATTCACACGTTTAGGCTTCCATTTTACCCTTATTTTCACTCTCTCCTTTTTCCCCTCTCCCTTTGTTAACCGTGCTCTACCATGCGGTTGAGGCTGGAAGTGACCCGTGGCCCATCCCAAACAGCACTTTTGCCAAACTGCACTCAAGAGAGATCTCCTGATGGCTGCTGCCACCTCCTGCTGCCTCCCGCTGCCAATCAGCAGTAGCAGCAGGATTTGCAGGACATTTTTAGAATGAGCCCTGGGCAGAGGAGTAGGGTTGCATAATAGCATTGCTTTAATGAAGTAGAGAAGGGGATGCGCGCAAGGGGGAGCTTGGCACAGATGCCAGGTTTTAACGAATTGTTGAAGTAAGAACTCTCAGTGTAGAGACTAGAGACAAGACAGTGAGCCAGGATAATGCTTCATTTGCCACTGAAATGTATCATGGAACACTTCCACCAAACAGGATTGGTTGTTTTGATAAGATAAACTGGTTGGTGAGGTAAGACAGCTAACCAAATAAATTAACAGTTACTGGTGTGTGTGTGTGTGTGTGTGAGTGAGTGAGTGTGTGTGTGTGTGTGTGCATATAAAATGTTTTTACTTGCTCAGCAGCTGATTATTTTCCTCAATTGTGTGAAGAAAAAAATGAATACAGGTAACTTTTAAGGATCTGTTCAAATGTCATCGCCATCCTGATTTCACAGTTAAACGTCTGGTCTCTTTCCTTAGAACCCCCATAATGTCACCTGGACACCTTTGTCAACTCCAGTTGTTTCTTCTCTGGAATAAAGGCATTTATATCTTACTGCTCTGCTACAAATCTGAAGGAAGAACCCATGCCCAGTTCGCATCTGCCCCTGAACAGTGGGATGTCAGAAAGTTTAGAACATGGTGAACAGGCTAAAGAATGAACAATTGGGTAAAATGTGCCATTGTGGTGTAGTATTAACCCTTAGGGAAATTGCTGCGTGCCTAATTACTCGCCTACATAGAAGGATTTGTAAAGCTGAATAGAAGGGAAATACTCAGGGCTCTCTTTGTGCAAGACTCTGACCTAGGTAATAGGGATCCCTTCAATAATACTGAAGACTAGGGCCGGGAAGTGGTGGCACATGCCTTCAATCCCAGCACTTGAGAGACAGAGGCAGGAAGATCTTTGTGAGTTCAAGGCTAACTTGATCTACAGAGCAAGTTCTAGGACAGACTCAAAAGCTACAGAGAAACCCTGTCTCAGAAAACCAGATAGATAGATAGATAGATAGATAGATAGATAGATAGATAATGGACAGATGGATAGATAATAGATAGACAGATAGATAGATAATAGATAGATACATAGATAGATAATAGATAGACAGACAGACAGACAGACAGATAGAGGAATAACAGAGACAAGGCTGAGCCCCCGTGATACTTGGTTCTCCGGTTTAACTGATTTTAGTTTTAAGCATTAAAATTGTACCAATAGCCAGATTTGGTGGCACAAAATGATAGTCCTCACACTTAGGGGGACAAAACAAAAAGACCACAAGTTCAAAGTCAACGTGGGCTACGTAGCAAGACCCTGTCTCAAACAAACAAATGAACAAATTATTCCCAATTGGAAAATCTGTAGATCTCTGAGGACATGGAATATATCATAAGGCAATCGCAGGGCCTCTCCAAAGCCTGCTGAAGGACTTTCCTAACCGATCTGTGCTGGGCTTGAACTCCATCCTGTTCCACTGGAGAGTTTGACATCAGGTCAAGAACCCTAAGCTTGAGGAGCAGTGTCAATGTCTACTGTTTAACCAAGTAGCCAGGATGCGCGTATTGGACATGTCTCATGAATGACTTTAGTACACCCTGTGCCAACTATGGGAAGACCAGGATCTTAAGACTCCAATAAGCTATGGAACTTTTTTGTAGGCACCGTACATAAATAAAGGAATCATAAATTAAACAGGTTCAAAATAAGGCTTAATTATAAAACCTGAGAAAGAAAAAATGCCAGGTGTTACTTTGGTGATTAAAAGGAATTTGTAAAACTTTCATCCTTCAACTTTTACATTAAGGACATTAGCCTTAAGAAGCATTATTAACATAAATCTTTAAAACACAAACTTTAAAGAGAATTTTTAATAATGGAAATGTGCTTTGATGATGAACATAAACTAGGCATCACTTTCTGAGGAAAGTTCTTGAAATGTTTTAATAGTACCAGCAAATGTGAATTATCATTTATCATAATATAGCAAAATAAAATCTACATGTTAGTTTCCAGTGACTGGCTTGTTCACACACATAGAGTGAATACCGATGAGATATGGGTTACCTTAGGATTTAAAGAAAGGTCTTTTTTGGTCTGTCCAGAAGCCAGCCCATATGGGGGTAGCCCACAGTTGCTTTCCTCCAATCTCTTAGTCCAGGAAAGAGGAGGGACATACGCAGCCTGTTCTCACATCTTCTTGATTCGTAGGTGGGAGAAATTCTGTCTTCTACAGGCTCTGTGTAATACATTGAGCAATTCCAGAGAGAAGATGGCCCAGCACCGCTCTCACGGTCATAGACACTCATTTCCTGAGACAACGAGTGACAGCATCCTCTCCTCTCCTGGAGCAAAAACACAAGTGCCCTGAGGTGACACATCCAGCACTCCAAGCCTTGAGAGTGGCGTTTCTCTGAAGGATTTCTAGAAAAAGAAAAGCCTCTTGTCTCTTTGGCCCTAGAAGACGAAACTCAGCTGTTTCAGGTTCAGAAGATTCCTGTTTTTGCTCAAGTGTCTCACCCGTTTCTTTAGGAAGCAGAAGAAGATGTGAAGTGTTCAGATAACAGTCTTTACCACCACTCTGCTAATTGATACGATACACTGAACGAGAGCAAGATTCTCCCTTCCTGAGTTGTGGAAATCACAAGTCCACAGTTGAAGGCAGCAGAACTGCAAAGAAAATTCACCAACTTGCCCGTGCCAGAACAATGCTTCCCTTCATGCTTTGCCTAAGTAGGAACTCCCCTTTCTCTGATTTTCCAACCCACTACACATTTCAGCAATCCCCAAATCCAGGTGAATGGTGACACTACCTAGCATCCTTCTACCAAATACTTTCTCCTGCGGGTAGCACCCACTGCTCTTTCAAGATCAGTTTTATCCTTCATCAAATCATCTCTCAACCTTTGCTCCAAGACCTTGGATGGTGTTGCTCCTTCTCTAATACGGGAGTTGCAATCATTTGTTCTCCTACTAACTTCACTCCTTCCTTTTCTGCAGTTAGTTTTAGAGATAAAAAGGACAGGTGAAAGAAAGCAAATAGGGTTATGACTATTCCTGTGTGGAACATCACCTCTCCACTTAAAACAATCTACTACATGGAAGACTTAGGCTCACTCTTGGCCTTTTGCCTTCACTCAACGTTGGTTGGCTTGAGTTATGTGATTGTTTAGGCAGTTCAATCAACCCACATGTCCAAACAAGTAGTCCATCAAAAATCATTAGTTTTGGTTTCTCTGTGCATCTGTGGGTAGACCAGTGGGAAGCAGAGATATGAACACAATTTTTTCTCAGAGAGGGGTTCTTTCAAATCCAAGTCCGAAGAACTAACATGGAGATTTGGAAGTTCATTAATTCAGTAGTATTCTTGGACTTAATCTGGATCATTAATAAAGGTATGTTTCGTTTCCTCAATTGCTTCCTATTTTATTTTTGGTTTGTTTTGTTAGAATTTGGATGGAGGAAGATGAATACTATCATATGTTCTACCTAAAAGAACTCTAACATAGTTGTAATAGCTGGTTTTATGTGTCAACTTGACACAAGCTGGAGTCATTAGAGGAAGGAGCCTCAGGTGAGAAAATGCCTCCTTGAAAACCAACCGTAAAGCTTTTTCTCAATTAGTGATCAATGGGAAAGGACCCAGCCTACTATGGGTGGGGCCATCCCTGGGCTGCTGGTCCTGGATTCTATATGAAGGTGGGTTGAGCATGTCAGGAGAAGCAAGCCAATAAGCAGTTCCCCTCTGTGGTCTCTTGTAGAGAGAAGCCTTTTCCTTGCCAGCCGCTTGGTTTTTCCCCACCAGTCACCTGGGCTCTGCCGCGTTGTAGTCTCCAAATAACACACAAGATGCTGTATTAATTATGAAGCTGTTGGCCTTGCTTGTTTCTTACTGGCTAGCTCTGACGTAAGTATTTATCCCATAATTGTTAATCTAAGTATTTCTCTTACCGGAGAAAAGTTCCGGGCATCTTACTTCTCTGGCAGGCTACATCGTGACTCCCTGTGATTCTCCTACCCAGAGTCCTCCTGGACTCCTAGTCCCACCTATCTAGATTCCCTATTGGCCAACAGTGCTTTATTGACATATACACAGGACTTCCCCCATCAGTCTCTGAATTAGCTTCTGCCTCCAGGATCCTGCCCTGTTTGAGTTCCTTATCTGACTTTCTTCAGTGATGAGCAGCAATGCTGAAGGGTAAGCTGAACAAACTCTTTCCTCCCCAATTTTCTTTTTGATCATGGTATTTCATCACAGCAGTGGAAACCTAAGGAGGACAAGAGGCATAGACACATTGAGGTAAATGGTGCATGGGTTACCTTAGTATGAAGTTCTGATTGGTGTACTCCAGAGCCCTCACCTCATTGTGTGCATTTTCCTCTGGAAGGAAGCATAAGAGAGCATGATTAGAGGGGAGATTGTGGGTGACCCTGTGCCTGGTGGTAGCAGAGTCGTGAAGAGGACACAAAGATGGTAACGTTGTCTCTTCAGTTCTAAGAGAACTGTGTTAGCAACCTACATGCTTCTGCTGTTTATTGAGTGAGGTTTCAGAATGCCTTGGCCAATGGGCTGGCTTTTCTCTCTTTCGGGGTAGATGCCCCTTCCCTCACGTTCCTTTTTCCCCTCCTTCGGTGGCAGCCCCCTGATGAGAATCGAGACTCCATCCTAAGCATTTCCCAATGTTCCCAGGAAGCTGCTGATTCATTTTCAATGCCGTGGCTGAGATTACACAGCAGGCACTGTTACCTTCCGGCACTCCTTTGTCCAACTACACTTCTGGTAGAACCTCTAGCTTTTCTTCTCTTTTTTTCCAATGTTTACTTGTTTAGTGCACATGTGTTTGCATGTGCATGCCACAGCACTCATGTGGAGGTCAGAGGACAACTTCAGGGGTCAGTTGTCTACTTCAGCCAGGTAGGAGCCGGGAATCAAACACGGGAATTTAGGATTGGTGGGTTGCAAGCCCTCTTACCAGCTGAGCCATCTTCCTAGATTAAGTTTTTCAAACACTGGGTAGATCGTTAGATTCAACTAGCAATATCAGTCTGGAAGTTCTTCAAGGGTGAAAATGAGGCAAGATGAAAAGGAAGCAGAAAAATCAGAAAGAAAATGTAAAGGGTACAACTGGTGGGAAGAAATGCAGTCAAGCCAAACAAATTTGTCTGTATTCCTAGAATACTCTTCACATACACACACACACACACACACACACACACACACACACACACACACACACACCTTGTAGCATCAGGTTTCCCTTAGTTTAGGTAAAGAAGCCATGAGTATTTTCTCTCTTTCCAGAGAAGATGACATTTCTGCTCTTACTCACCATACTGCAAAAGGAGTAGCTAACTTCATTGATAGGAATCTAATTCCTATCTACATGTTATTGGGGGGGGGGATGAAGCTAGAAGTCACCATATAATTTTCTGCAAATATACTTTAAAATGAACAGTATCATCAGTTATGAAGAAAAAGCAAATCAAAACTAAAATGAGATGTAATCTTACCCAAGTTAGAATGGTTATTATCAAAAAGATAAAATATAAATGTTACCCAAGTGTGGTATCACATCATCCAGGAAGCTGAGACAGAAGAATTTCAAATTCAAGGCAAACCTGACCCATAAATAGATACCCTGTCTCGCCGGGCGGTGGTGGCTCACGCCTTTAATCCCAGCACTCTGGAGGCAGAGGCAGGCGGATCTCTGTGAGTTCGAGGCTGGGCTGGACCGATAGCCTCCAAAACAATACAGAGAAACCCTGTCTCGAAAAACCAAAAAAAAAAAAATAGATACCCTGTCTCTAAAAAAAATACATTAAGAATGTAGGGGAAAACAAGGTTTTACTCCTCATTGGCGGGAATATAAACTAAGAACAGTACAGAGGTCTTTAAAAAATTAATATTAAAATTGCCATTTGGTCAAACGATCCCTAAAATCAATAGACAAAGGCATACCTGTACTACCTAACATGGCATATCCATATTTACCGCAGAGTAACTCATAATGGCCAAGATACAGAATCAACCTTGGGAAGAGCCTATCAACAGATGAACAGATACAGAAAATGTGTACACACAGAGAGAAAGACACAGACCCAGACATGCGTTCGCACACACACACACACACACACACACACACACACACACACACACACACTCGCACGCTGAAATATTCAGTCATTTAAGAGGAAATGATGTTTCTAGCATTAAAATGCATAAAATTAGGGGTACTGCATTAACTACAATAAGTCAGACCAAGAAAGGTGGTTACAGCAAATCCTTTCGTGTGTAGAAGCTGGTGTTTCTATGTGAATGCAGAACAGCAGAAAACTGAGCTGTTTAAAAGGGATGGAACATACAAGTGAACATTTACTCCACAGCCTGCTGTGCTAGCAACAGCTCACAATAGCCCTTGGATGGTCCACGGAGATCTAGAAGTGCATATTGACGGCCCCAACTATGAAGAAATGTTGATGACATGGGGATGCCAGTCCTCTTGGGTTGCTCAAATCAAGTATCTATTTTGAAATATAAAACTCTAGCCTATGAGTACATATGACCTCTTCATATTAATTAAAACAAAACAAAACAAAAATGTAACCACTTTGCCCCCTCTGGCTCCCTCTTACTGCCTACGTGATACATGTAAAAAAAATCCCCCACTCATATGTCACTCCCCAGGGATGACCTGCCCACATCTTCCTTTGGATGAACAGTGATGACCTGAAGTTTCCCCCATGGTAGTGTGTATGAGGTAGCTCAGCGATGCTGTATGCAGATGGGTGGGAGTTAGCTGAGGGAGAGAGATGTCTCTCCAAGGGCAGGCTCTATGTCCGGATGTGAGGAAAGATAGGCACTCCAACTTGGCCTCAGGCCTCGGGACACATTATCTACAAAGCATGTCCTTTTCTTTACACCAACATTTCACTCTGATGTAATTGAGATGCTCTGTGTGTGTGTGTGTGTGTATGTGTGTGTGTGTGTGTGTGTTTCACAACTGGGTTTACACAGTGGTTCTCAGACTTTAGGACAAGGCCATCAGTTGCTGGGTCCCACTACTAGAGTCTATGAATCAGCAGGTTGCAGGTGAAGTCTAAGAATTGGCATGCTAACAAATTCTCAGACTTCCCAGATGAGGCCTCTGCTATTCCTTCAAGGACCACGCTTTGACTTATTGCCCTAAATACAGGAAGAGAAGAAATGGAAGCTTTTAGTGCTCACCCTATTTATGATTCCTGGTTGAATATTTTCCTCCCATCTGAGTTACAGGGTGACAGTAACTTTGTCTATCTTATCATCATAGCATCTTCGGTGCCTACCACAAATTAGGAACTCGGTAATTGTGCACTAATAAGTTAGACACAACACATGTCCCTACCAATCGAACATTTCACCCACACAGAGTATTTCACCTCGCCATGAGCAGTGAGATATTCTACATGGCATTCTCCCAGGAAGGTGCAGAATCTACGTATTACATATCTTTAGAGACGCAAACTGTTTCATGGACACCATGACCCCAGTGTGTCCATGGTGGAAACTGAAGATCAAAACAAGAACTGGATATTTACTTGATTAACCAGTAGGGAGGGTCTGAGAAATCAGAGCTCAGTGGTCACTGTGATTAGTGCTGATGGAAATAATGAGCTTCGTTCGTATCTGTGGGGTTGCTAACATCTAGGAATGCCCTGATTGCTCACCGGCTTGTTCTGAATACATTGGAATGCATCTGGAGCTGAGATGAAGGGATGAGCTCAGAAATAAATCAAATTTGGTACAGAAACACATCTATATTTCATGTGCCTGCTTCTGCAGGGATGCCTCAGTAATTGGTTTAAAAATATCCATGACATCTGTTGATTCTTCTACTTTTAAGTTTCAGTCTTCAATTTTGCCTGTTTTTGCAGAAGATTATGGTGCAGAGCAGAGAACAGGAAGAAGGTATCGCAGCAACTAAACAGCCTCCGTCCCTCCCAGCATCCTGGTGCAGACCAACTCACTGGTCAGTCTGACCTGATGGAGAAGTGTGCCTCTTCAAACCCTTGTGAGAAATGAGCCAGATAGAAACAACCACATGGCTTGTTTCCCTGTGTGTGACTGCTGGTCGAGCATCGAACCATAAGTGTCCAATCATTTCAAAGTTTACATTGGAAGCAGCTTCACCTGTCAGTCATGGGTGATGCTGTGTCTTTCAAAGGAGCTGCCTCAGAATTTTCAGCTGGGGATGTCTTTCTGGAGACTATTTGTTGCCTCCTCGGGTAAGTCAGCTAAAAATTGGCCTCACAAAAACTGTTGTGAGAGTTAAGGGAGAAAAATGTGTAAAGTATGAATAAGAACTGTGTAAAGGTATTTTGTGTTGCTGTCATTGTTATTAATGCATGCAATACTTAAGAATACAAAGGCCCACTGTATCCATATGAAACGCTAGGGAAACCTGTTTTAAAGCATTACCCATGACTGACACAGACTTTGCATTGCAATTGTCTAATCCTACAAAGCTGCCCTCTGTATGCTTATAGTTCCTCCCTGGAACATCTTCTCACTCACAGGGTCTTCACCTATGCTCTCTTTGTCTAAGGCAAAATATAGGGTTAACATCTCATTAACCTCCCTCACCCCATGCCATCCAGAGACAGTACTCTGTTTCAGTTCCTGAAGAGCTGGGCTCCTTCCAACCATTTCCATGCTGTGGGGTCCCTGCTTATTTATAGGTGTGTCTCCTCTGTGTTTATCAGTGTGTGTCTCTGTGTTCATCAGTGTGTCTCTCTGTGTTCATCAGTGTGTCTTGTCTCCTCCTCTAGGTGATGAGCATTCTTAGATTAGAATCTGGTAATACTGAGTTAATCGGCTGGGCATTGATGGCGCACACCTTTAATCCTAGCACTCAGGAGGCAGAGACAGGCAGATCTCTGTGAGTTCGATGCCAGCCTGGTCTACAGAGTGAGTTCCAGGACAGCCTCCAAAAACAATACAGAGAAACCCTGTCTCGAAAAACCAAGAAAGAAAAAACAATACTGAGTTAATCTTAAAGTAAATATCCAATCAATAAGAGAAAATTGCCAGCTCCAGGTCCCAGGAAAAGATCTTTCCTCAAAAAATAAAGTGAGCAGCTCCTGAGGAATGGCACCTGAAGGGGCTACCTCAGGACTTGGCATAAAGGACACTCTTCAAAAGGACACCTCAGTAACCTATTTTCCTCCAACTAAACCCTACTTCCCAATTGTCTGTTCACCTATGAATTTATCAATGAGTTAATCTATTGAGGAAGTCATAGCCTTAATCACCTCTCAACTCATCAGTTCACAACTAAGCATTAGCACGAGCCTTTGAGTATATTATAGATTTAAATCATAGCCCACTCAGAGGTTGATTGAGTGAGTCTAAACATTGAAAGTTAGACCCCTTCCCAAAGGATTCAAATATGTCCCCTCACTTGAGAAAGGCTGAGTAGGAGATAGATGAAGTAACCATATTCTCTGAGTGCACTTCATATAAATTGAAGGAGACAACACTCACCTTTGTGTTGTTGATAACAGCAACAGAGTAACTAGCATGAATTGGGATCTACCAGAGTCTTAGTTCTGAGTGCTCTGCGGTTCTCAGTTGAGCCCTATACCACCCTTGAGAGGGAGGAAAGAACTCTTACCCCTGCATTTATGGGGAAGGAAGCTAAGTGACAGTAGCTGTAATGAGTCATGATCTAAGTAAGCCCCATGATTAGGGATAAGAAAGATGGCCTGGTGTCCAAATCCTCCTGTGTAATCCCGCAGTCTCCTTCCCTGTGCTGTTGGAAGAGCTTTGAGGAATTATCACCCAAGTACTGAGCAAGTAGCCAAAACCACAGGTGCTGTGAGCCCTTGTCACGTTGTAAGCTCATTTGTGTAAGGGTCCAGGGATTGATGTCCAGTCCAGGTTCTAGAAAACACCAGAGCCTGAGAACCACGTACAGAGTCATCAGTGATGAAGGAACACAGAAGCAATGGCTAATCCAAGCAGACATGCTCATCGTCTCAGCCAAGAGCTCGCTGTGCCTCAGCCAGGCATCAGGCCAGGTACCAGCAGTCAACAGTGTGGCCAGTGTTAGTCTGCTAGTAACCACATCTCCCAGTGCTACCAAAGCCTGCCGGATAGAAGGACTCGAACATGAGCAAGTGATGGACCCTAATGCGACAGGGAGACAGCTTTGGCTATGAGGATGGATAAAATATAAAAGAAAGTCAGAAATCTGTGTCTATCTTACAGCGTTGTAATGGAAACAAATAGCGTACGCATAAGGATGAGGGCAGCCAAGAAACCAGGAGACAAAGGAAGCAGAATTATTAGGTAAAAGGTTTTCGCTTTGTTAATACGGCCCTGAAATTGTTTGCACAATAAATGAGAAAATGACAGTAACGTCAAGTTACAAAAGAGCCACCATGAGCACACCAAGATAAGGACATCTATCCTTGTGGTCTGTAATTTGATTGGAAACAAGAAGAAATATGGGCAAAGGTAGAAAGGAGCAGCCACCCAAACTCAAAAATATTTTATTCTTGCATCCCTTCCTCCCAGCCCTTCACTCATTATTAAATTACATATGCCATTACTGCACTTTCCACATGGATACATCCATATATACATGCTGGCCTCATGCAACTGGATATGAACACACACATACACACACACATATACACACACACATAATACTCATAATACACATATATACATGTATATACAAATAATCAGTTTATTAGGAAGTTAAGACAGTACTGTGCTGCCTAAAAATATACTTTATTTAGTTGTATGTCATGATTTTTCCAGGTGGCCTAAAATATCCACAGGCATTTTTAATGGCTACTTAGCATTACATATTTTGCAATATAAAAATACCCTGTTTTGAAACTATGAAGCAGTTCTACTTGCTGAGTATAATAAGTGGTACTGAAATGGAGAATTGATTTTTCCATATAGATGTGAAATCACTGTACTAACTCACATGGTTTGAATACATGTTACAGATTTTCTCTTCCAAGATTCATGAGTTTGCCAGGCGGTGGTGGTGCACACCTTTAATCCCAACACTCGGGAGGCAGAGGCAGGCAGATCTCTATGAGTTCGAGGCCAGCCTGATCTATCAAGCTACAGAGAGAAACCCTATCTTGAAAACAAACAAAATTCATGAGTTTATATGCCACCATGAAGTATCCTTAACCTCTAATGGGCACCAAACATTAACCATTTTTAATTTGTTAACTGAAAATTTCCCTATGGTTTCCTCAAGCAGGAGTCTGCCTCTGAGTCTGACCGTCCTCTGATTGTCATTTATATTAGTTTTATTAATCATCTGCTCGTGTTCTGGTTATATAATTGAGATTTAGTGAGTCACTCTACAACACCCACCACTCCTTGGCTAGGTCTGGAATCAATCACACTGATGTAGAATCCATATTGGAGATGAAGATGTGAACTTTGCTGTAAACAGGGCGTTTAGAACACAGGCTGTAGAGCAAAGGGGCTCGCTGAAGCCTGTCTCTGAAGGCTGCCCTGATCAGATAACCCCATAGGATCCGGTACGTTACATGCCAACCTGTGCACAGCATGTTCTTCACGGTAGCCAGACGGATGGCTAGGAAAGGAAAATGAAGGTGCACCATTTAGAGTTCTGTACATCACCATGTAAAAGTAACGTAGGGAAAACTGGGCTCCTTGGTGACTGACAGGCTGAGATAGCTCTCAGCTTCCCCTGCACTGCATTGTCCAGACCCTTCCTTCACCATGAGGACGTTGGGGGTCATCTGGGGTGTGAACTTGTCTGCGGTTTGAAAGATGGAGGCCAACTCTGAGGCTGATTTTCCATGGCCATCATTCCGAGAAAGCCTCAGTTTTAGTTTCATGACCATGGGGTGTAGAGCTGGCTTCAAGTCAGGATTTTTGCAGAAAGGTTCCCAGCTTAGCAGATGTCTCCTTGGACTTTCAGGTTCTTTACTTATGGAAGGGCATGTGGTTCTTAAACTGTACCTCCCCGTTCAGGGGCTTTCAGATGAGAAAAGGGCCACTTGTTTCTGGGGATGACAGTCTTGCAAGGTGACTCTGAGAGGTCAGTCATGAGACAGCTCCTCGGCTTCCCCAATGCTCACGAAAGCCATGAATGCCCTGCATTTGATCCATTTCTATTGGACAATCTGAAGCCTGACCTTTAAAAAACTACACTCTAAATACTGATGGCCTAGACAGCTGCCATCACTATTAATGATCCACAACAACTATGTTAGGATGTTCCAAAGGCATAATGATACTGTGTCGTTTTTTTCAGAGTTCACTCTTGTCACAGGGACACTGTGAGATCAAGATGTATATATATTTCTCCCAATACTAGAGTAAACCAGTCCTTCAGACACTCAGTACCTGACCTATATTAAATAACTGATTGAGCCTAAATGAATGTCAGTCAAGCTGCCATCTCCATGGTGACCCATTAGTATACTCTAGCACATTTTCCTACCATGGCCACATTTTCAAGTTTTTAATCTGTATCTAAACGCGCCCAGATTTCCCTTGAAATAAATTTAGCTTTTTTTTTTTTCAAGCGTCTAGAAAGACCCCTCTTGCCAAATCCACGCTGCTGTTCAAGCAAACGTCTACCGGAGTCAATTCTCAGCCTCAACACACAACACTGTCCAAGAACCCCACCAAATCTGAAACCAGTAGAAGACTGCAGATGATATTAAAAAAAAAACACAGCAAGTCATGGTAACAGCGCTTTGGGGTCTGGACACGGGGCTCAGGGGATAAAGCGGGAGCCATACAACAGTGAGGAAGAGCGTGGATCCCCCCAAGCACTCAGATAAACAGATAAACGTGAATCGGGTGTGCTCGCTTGCTGTGATCCCCGTGCTCCGGAGATTTAAACATGGGATCCCAAGAGCAAGCCGATTGGCAAGAGTAGCCAATCGGTGAACTCTGGGTTCAAGGGAGAGACCCTGCCCCCATGTGTAAAGATAAGGAAAGAAGAGAGACGAGACGCCTGACATCAGCCTCTGCCTCTGCGTACACGTGTGTACACACATACACACATTTGCCCACACACATGTAAACATATATACATGCGTGCACACATATCACTGATTCACGTACTTTTTTAATGCCCACTCTCTTTGAGGTGTGCATACCAACACCCTTGGGTGTGCTTTCTCTTTTCCTTAACCCCTTGTTTGAAATGCATATTATTTGGGCATAGACTCAAACATGCTTTATGAAAAAGAAAAGAAAAGAAGGAGAGGAGAGGAAAAGAGAGGGGAGGAGAGGGGAGGAGAGGACAGGAGAGGAGAGGAGAGGAGAGGAGAGGAGAGGAGAGGAAAAGAGAGGGAGGGGAGGAGAGGGGAGGGGAGGAGAGGGGAGGGGAGGAGAGGGGAGGGGAGGAGAGGAGAGGAGAGGAGAGGAAAAGAGAGGGGAGGGGAGGGGAGGAGAGGATGCCAGTGCTACATTTTGAATCTGAAATGTCCCCCATTAATGACTTGATCTTCTACTCTGTCATTAGCATCTTGAGCTGTGCTTTGAGGGCTGTGGTCAGGATCCGCTGAGCAGCCCCAGGTCTGCTCACGAGTGGGGCAGTGTGGATGGGGGAAAGGCTAACTAAAAGAGTTAAGAGTCGGAGACACAGGATATCTGTCAGGAGGGCAGACTCAGTCCATACTGAATGTTCTTACTTTATTCCTATACCATCCTAAGTATTCCATCAACAGTCAGGACAAAAGGAGAAGACTTCCGTTTTCATGTATAAGGAGCAAGGAGTCAGAGTCATTACTTCCCTTAATTCTTCAGGTACTCCATAGTTGCCGGTACCATTGGCCTTCAGGGTGAGAGTAAACTAGCCTGGGCCCAAGTCTATTGTTATTTAGACAGGAGACATTTACTACCAAGGCCAAGGCATCCTGCAGCTAATGTCTTAAGGGAAATAGGAGTGATTTGAGCTCTGAACTCGTGGCAAGATGGAATGGACTCCCATTTATGGGTCCTGTCACACTAGGAGGTAGAAAGGAAAGGCTTGAGAAGTGAGACAGTGGGAGATTTGGACGTTGCCCTGGAAGTTATATGTGGGGGCTGGTCTCTTTCTCCTCTACATCCCATCCATGGGGTGAATGGTTTTACACACACTCATGTTGGAACTTCACACAAGTCTAATGTAACAGGCAGCCAACTGTTGTAGGCAGTGCTCTCTGATTTGAAGCATTCCCTCCATGAGGGAAAACAGGCTCACAGGACTCAAAGGGTCACACACCCGGGAGAGCAGAAACTTGGAAAATTATCAAAGACCCTCAGGTTTAGAGAGAGGGGAGGAAACTAGCCACTGAAGAGAACTGTCAAGCTGTCTGAAATTGTGTAGAGAACTCCAAAGCTGAAGCCTTCACGAGTCATCGCGCATGCTGGGTGGGCTTTTCAGAGATGCAGCTTTCTTCTGTGTAACCCCTCACCCATGCTCCTAGTTAAAATTCCCAATAAAAACTTTGAACTTTGTTTCGACCATTGACTTGGTCCTGTCAGGGATTTCCCCCTCTGGGGTGAGTAGCTGTTTGTGTCGTATCTCCCCAGAAAATGTCTGCTGCAGGACACCAGCTACGACCAGAGCCTCCAAAACAGTGAGTCTAAGTAAACCTTTCATCTTTATAAGCTCACAGACTCGAGCTTTGTTGCACTGATTGAAAGATAATTACCACAGATGTGGATAACGAGAGAGGCGTGCAGAGAGAATTTGCAGCCCTGTTCTGTCAGCTTAGGGCCACTCAGACTGCAAGCTCCCCGAATTTCACAAGGCTTGGGAACTACCTTTTCCCCAGAGCTATATTTTTAATTTTGACAGTAGACTAGGAATGGTAAAAGGCAAAAGCCCTATTATTGCTTTCACATACCAGCCAGGTTTGATCATGGCCCTCAACAGATGAAAGCACCTACAGAAATCACAGGGATTTATTTCTCTAACAAGCCTCTTGCTTAAAATGTGACAACCAAATATAATAACTGGTGGCAGTTTCCTGCAGTCCCTGAGTACCCAAAATCTAGCAGAAAAAAATTGCCAGCATCTTGGCCTGGCTTTTGCTCCTCCTACAGTACCCTTGAGCATCCCACATCAAGAATTTGTTTCATTGACGTATTTCTTACCTGAAACACCATTATCTGTTTTCCTAGTGGCCATCAAGTATTTCATCCCAACTGGACCACCAGAGAGGCAGGTCCTGGTGCCTCTCACTCCCCTCCTCTGACTCTGTTTCCTCGATTTTCAGGCCTAAGAGTTAGAACTGGCTAAGTATAAAGTCCTCCAACTCTGGCAAAGGAAAAAGAAATCATTCTAGAAATTCTTCTCTCTCCTTCCTGCTCTTCTCTCCTCTCCTTTGACCCTCTGTAAGAAGTTTTATTTATCTAGCGGATTCCATAGTGACACATTTTACTGGCAAAATTGTGTTGAGAGCCACGAGAAAGAGAGGTGACTCAGATATACCCAAAGGTGCCAGTTCACGCAGATACCTCTTTCCCAGAAATTGACTTAATGTCCAAAATCATTTCACCTACTAGATATATGTGTGTTGCTGCCTGCCACCGAAAGAAAATGTCTTTTACGGGACTGATTCTTGAGGATTCCTGAAAGGTCTTCTCAGGCCCAGGCAGGGTGTGTGGCAAAGTAGAAAGCCTCGTGGGGCTCATGACTCTCACTTTCGTTGCTGGCTGAATCAGCTTTCAGGGAAAGCAGAGCTCCTGACTTTCCCAGACCTGAGGCTGTCGAGGTTTGAGATCACTGTTAGACGGGGCTACCACAGCAAATAACACAGCCTGTGTGTTTTCAGCAACTAACCTTTCCTCAGGTTCATGGGCTGAGAAGTCCAAAATCGGGGTTCAGGCCAAATTCATTCCCAGTGAGGGTCCTCTTCCTATCATGGACAAGTTCGCATCTACAGAAGTCCTCACCTAGGTATCTCTCAGGCTAGACATGGGCAGAGGGGGGGCCACCTTGGTCCTGTCTCAACAAGGTGAGGGGGCAGACTTAGTAGACTTCCTAGTGGAGGCCTTACTCTCTCTGAGGAGCGGATGGGAGCTGGGATGGGGGGGAGGGGAGAGCGAGAGGAAAGGAGGGAGGGGGAACTGGGACTGGAATTTTTTTAAAAACAGTCCTCACCTCCTAGAAAACCAGTTGTAGTTCTTATAAAGATACTAATCACATGTTGAGGGCCCCCACCCACATAACCATACGCACACTGAATTACTCCAAGGCTTCATCTCTAAATCCAGTCACCTGGGGGATTAGGCCTTCACTTGATGAGCTTGAGAAGAACACCCATGTTCAATCTGTGACCCTGCTTTCCCCTTCCTGACTCTGTCATCACTGGTGTGTGCCTCTGAGTCATCCTTCCTGAGACACCTTCCTTGTTCTAATTCCAATGCTAGGTACATTTCTCTTACGTCACCCCCTATGGCAAAACTGTCTGTTGCGTGGCAATGTCTACACAGCTTGCTCAACGGACTAAAGACAGCATGGAAGGAACGACACTGTGTTTCACCAGGGTTGTGGCCCATGCAATAGGCTATGGGGGGGCCTGAGTGACTTAGCCTCTCTCATCGTGGGTTTCCTTGACAATAGCTGCTGTGGATGCCAGGGATAAAGGGCCGCCCGCATATAGTAATGCACACAGGTGTGATTCATCACTCCTTGGGAGGGGTACCCTGGCACAACTTGAATTCTAATTGTTCTTAATAATAAAACCCAGAGACAGATATTGTGATTAATGCTGAAGTGAAGATCAGAGAAGCAGAGCAGCCAGCCGCTAAAGAGTTCTCGCCTCTACCAACGCTCATTCCAAAATGGTGATCCTGTCCTCAGACTGCACCCCTCTCTTGGCTCCTCCAACCTTATATTCCTCCCTTCACCCAGCTATGTCATTCCTGTCTCCACCTCCCTAGTTCTGGGATTGAAGGCGTGTGACTCCAAGTTCTGGGATCTCCTTTGTGTGAGCTTGTTTCTCTTTTACACTGGATAAATTCTGTGTAGTCCAGGTTGGCCTTGAACTTACAAAGATTCATCTGCCTCTGACTCCAGAGTGCTGTAATTAAAGGTGTGCACCACCACTGTGTGGCCTGCATAGCTGACTAGTGTGGCTAGCTTTGCACTCTGATCTTTAGGCAAGCTTTATTTGTTAAATCACAGACAAAATATCACCACACCATGGTGGAGGGGAACAGCTTGGACTTTCAAGATTCACCAAGCTGGTTTATAACACTAGCTTCCTACAGAATAGCACCATGACTTCAATGAGGTTCCCAACATCTCTGAGCCACCAATGATTGTTCTTACAAAATGGAAATGTTAACTGCTTAATTCACAACACCATCGTTAAGATTATATGCAATACTTCAAATCAATACCTAGTCAATAAGTATGTGCTCATGCCCGTCACGCTGGACAATTGCAGGCATGCTGGAAGACAATCGTAACTCTTCCTGCCTCACAGGGTGAAGGCTGCTTCTTACAAATATCTGCCAGCATTCCTGTTTCTGCTACCACTGGCAATGCTGAGGCTTCATATGAAACTAAGTGATTTATATTCTTTATGGCCTAATAAAGTCTGAAGGATCAGAATGCAAAGCTAGCCACCATAGACAGTCATAGTAGTTGGGCAGTGTTGCTTCACACTTTTAATCCCAGGACTCGGGAGACAGAGGCAGATGGATCTGTGTAAGTTCAAGGCCACCAGGGGCTACACAAGAGTGAATCAGTCTAAAAGAGAAACAGAGCTCAAGCCTTTAATCCCAGCACTAAGAAGTATAAAAGAAAGAAGCAAAGGGTCTC